AAACACTTAACTAGTAATACAGAATTATTTCAGCAGCAGCATCTCAATTTAAAAAGCCGTAAATCAGGGAGCTCTGGTGGCCTAGTGGCAAGAAGCTGCAACTACAATCCCAGAGGCACACGGTTCGAATCCACCAGATGCTCTGCCAGGGAAGGAGGGGCAATCTCCTCCTGTACCAGTCAGATCTGATTTGACGGTACACACACACCAAATAATAAAACAAATAATAAAATTTAAAAAAAAAGCCATAAATCACAATGCAGTCAGTTTAAGACTTGGTGCTACATGAATCTAGGTTCAAATCTTCGTTGAGGCATTTATAAATGTGTGCTCTTGTCAAAATTACATCAGCTTGTATCTTTATCCCACCTTGCAACTGTTGTGTATTCACTTTTGGAAGAATAAAGCTGCTTGGACTTGTTAAGATACAAACATGATTAATGTGAAAATGACCTTTATATGATAAAAAAAAATTGCTACTAACAGAGGCTAATAATTGCTTTTCCCCCCAAAATACACTTTCACATTTTATTATTTTGATTAAATAATGCCTTCCATATAACAAGTCTGAACAAACAATACCTGCCCTCCAGCCCTGTTGGCCTTCAACTTGTGAAACAATTGAGACATTAGAAAATATTAAACTTAAAACAGCATGCTCACAGACACTCCTGCACATAGACAAACAGTTTAACATAATTTTGTTAAAAGATTGCAGCTTTTCAGATTTCGATAATTCTTATTATTTCCAAAATAAACCATTTGCTTTACAGAATGTATCAAAATCTCAATCCTTTTCATATTGGTGATATGGTCACAAGGGAATTGCACGGGGAAATGACATCATTGCTTTGGCATTATCTAACCAAACACATCCAATCCCTAAACCATAATATAGCACAGAATGCTAAGGTTTCTAATAGTTCTTAATTCTTTCCCTTCTTAAAGCCACTGACCTAGGGCAGACACTAATCTACTCATGCTTTCATTACAGCAAAAGATACCAGCTGGCTCTTGCCTGACTCCAAGTGTCTCTGTCTTGATCTACCTTGAATATTGTCAAACTAATTTTTTTCTGTATTGTTATATTCTTCTTCAAGAATAACCAAATGTTCCTGGGTACTATATTTAAATTAATGGTTAAATCCTTACAGGCTTTCATTCTTCTATTTCACTCACAACAAAAGTCCACGATGCAATTGTATAATGAATGATGTAACACTGTTCTTGAAAATTAAAATACTGTTTTTAAACTTCTCTTTCAAAATGTATATATGTAAAATGTTAGAAAAATAGGTTTACTTTTAGGAAAATGGGCATATAGCTCGTCTTTAGAGTTTAGTATTAAGTTAAAAAATTCAAAACCAAAAAGCTTTGAAAAGTGAAGTTCTATTTAATACTGTATATAAACTACCTATAACAGGATATATTAATATATTATCAATGTTTCATTCTGACCATTTCAATGACACAAATGGTTAGTGAGTGAGTTTTAATTGTAAATACTGACTAGAATTTACAGTCAGAAAGAAGCAAAGTTTTTTTTTTTTAAACTACAGTCTTAATATTCTCTGTTTTTTCATATTCTAGGCCAAAGACGCGTGTTATCTTTCCCTCAGAAGTCTCTCAACTATTGCACTCATATTCACTTGAATGAATAAGAAAAAGAGATGACTACAAGTTAACATTTCATTTTCACATCCACTCAGTGGGCTTCCTATTAGTTAAAAAAAACCTACACACAAACCCAACAACAACAAACCCCCCCAAACTAACAACACAGAAGAATGCTGAAAGGCGTACATTTGTGCAACATATAATAATGTTCAACATTTAAAGCTTCTAACCAAAGGGTTAAATCTTCCAGTCACTTCATGAAAGCCTTCTGCACACACTTATAGTTTGAACTGACTCGGTTTTTTATTTTTCTCAAACCAAAGTTACTCTTTGAATTTAAGTTGCAAGATAATTACTTTTATAAATGAGATTTCCTTACATAAACCATATACAAATTCATCATAAATCAGATCATTTTAATCAGAATGAATAGGTATCTGTATTAAAGCTGCAGAAATAAGAAACCATGAGGAATAATTCATTATATAAAAATATAGGCTGTGATTGTCCATAAGGAACAAAAATGCCTCCAATTTATACAGCATTTCTCCTTTGAAGTTCACAATATCTCCTTAAGGATGGGGGGGGTTGGGGGGGGAGGCAGGTACTAACTCCCACTTCAGTCAATGAGAAAAGAGAAGATTTATTTATAGCTGTCTTCTGCTGGGTATTCTGATAATTTTATAAACTAACAAATTTCAGGAAGTTACTATGTTAGGTGTGATTTAAATATACAAAATAATTTCAGCTGAAAATGATGGTACGAGTTCTTGGAGAAGGACATCATGCTTGGAAAGGGGGTAGTTCAGTGTAAGAGAGAAGGACCATTGAGGAGATGGGCTGACACAGTGACTCCAGTAGTGGGCTCAAGTGTGTCAGAGATGGTGAGGATGGCAGAAGGCAGGGCAGGTTTCAGATCTGTTGTTCACAGGGCTGCTATGAACGGCAGTTGACTTGACAGAACATAACAACAACAACAACATTCATTCTTCTCGTTATTGTTGGGTGACACTGAGTGGGTCCCTCCTGTGTGACAGGATGTGAAGACGAAGGCTGACTAAAGTCTTAAACCACCCTTGCTTCTCAGGAGCACACTGGCGGCACGGCACACCTTCCATGGCAATGTCACATGGCTGCCCGGCACACCTTCCAAAGCAATGTAACATTTACACAAAAGTTACATATTATCATATGAGAAAAATGGAGAGTTCTCATCAGCTCAGTTTCATGGGCAACCTTCTCAAATCCACACCCCAAACTTATACATTCTCTGTTACCGTCCCAGGGTCATGCTAAATTCCTTTTCTCTTACAAGGTCTCTTTTAGATTATTCCAGTACAACTATTAATCGACTTCAAGTTTTTAATAGTATCTTATACAACAAAATATTTTCTATTTTCCCCATATTTTATTGTATAATACAAGCTTGATTAAAATGCATTAAGAAACATCTTGTATTTGAAGCAACACTACTATAAAATGCTTTTTAGCACATAACACAATTTAGTTAAATATATTCCCAACTTAGCATAATATTGGAAGGTTTAGGTATTTCCACTCCAATTTTCCATTCAAACAATCATAACTTTTTTTGTCTCTCATTCTCTCATCGTTTTTTCCTAATTATTTGTTACTTTAACCATCTACTTTACAAGTTCACAGTGTTATAGAAGTGAAAAATAACATTAACAAGAAACCACTCTAAAATACATGGCTTTATGTATATACAAAATTCAATAATGTTGTCACAACCCCTAGTTTAAGTAAGTCTTATTACTTATTCACTATTATTCAGAATAAACTTCTGTACATATTAAATTGTTCAAGTATATAGACAGCAGTGCTTACAAAAGTGAGTTCCCACTGCTGGATTAATAGTCTTTGTGAAGACCATTTTGAATTTCAATATAAGTAGCTAGATATCAAACAATCTCTTTTTTCACAATTAGAATACAATCTTAAATATCCTAAAATTCTCAAAGGACACTAATGCATAATTTGATTTATATCGACTGAAAATCCCTTTGTACAGCACCAGAAGTTAAAAATGAATTCACCTAATTAAATTGTCTGTTATTAGAGTATTAAAATCACTTCTCTCTATAGCCATTAACCCAAACTAATAATGAAGACAACTTAGGCCAAACTCCCTACATCTTAAATAAATATCCACTTTGTCCTTAAATACCCTTGTTACTTTCTACAGTATACTTTTCCTGGTAACATCTATACAAACAACGGAGACAAAGACCAACTTCTTATTTTTGAGGACTAGGCAAGCCGGATAGGATTCTCTAGGTTGGCTTTAAAAGTTTCCAGAAACCTGGTGGCCAGTTCGTCATCTACCACTCGGCTGTCGCTTGACATTGTAACCCTTATGTGTTGGTGCTGCTGCAACGTGGCATTGCCCTCCTCATCCTGCGTGAGCTTCAGCACGGGTCGGGATCTCCCAACAGCCAAAATGCAGGCTTGAGGGGGGTTGATCACCGCAGTAAATTCATCGATACCAAACATCCCCAAGTTAGAAATACTGAGGGGGGAAAAAAAAAAGAAAAAAGCTCTGAAGGCAGCAAATTCTAAATCTGGTATCCTTATCCTGAAGAATGCTTTTTTACATAAAAAAAAAACAACAAAACAAAACAATCCAACTCACAACAGAGTTAATGAACCTTGTATCAAATTATTTAAATACCAAAGAACATGCCATTAAACATTCAACTGTTTTATATATGCACTATGAAATATTTAACTGAAAGTCCTAGCCAGTGGAATATGACAAGAGAAGAGATCATGTCAAAAAGAACCCCATTTACAGCAGTGTATCTACATCTTTTCCACACACATATACACACACACACAACGAGAAGAAAGAAAACTTCTGTTTTACCTACAAATATTTTTCTCTAGTATAGTTTCATATCCTGTTGTCAAAATAAAGTATGTAATGTTTAGCTTATAAGTTTAAAAAAATGTTTCAGATTTAGAAATGAAAAAGGTCAAAATGGACTTTAAAGTCTGTATACTTTCTATCTGTTTAGTGTTACAGATAATAAAATGTTTAAGTTTTACCTAAAAGATCCTCCTTGATATTCTTCCGGTAACAATTTTCCATCTCTTGCTTTCTTTGAAAGAACCTGAGAAAAATACAAATGGAGCATGATGATCAACAGAATGGTATAGAATGACTCCTGCCAAGTTATACGTAACACCTGATAAACATGTACCGGGTATACTCCACATCTGGTATGCCTGATTTCTTCTTTTAAAAAGTTTAACCTAGAAAAAAATAGCTTCCCTTAAAAAATTTCAAATACTAGAATTTAACTTGTTTGTGCATCAATCACCATGTGGAAGGTTTCAGTGTATACAAACCAGTATTTTGACTCGTCCATAAAACATTTTCTACATAGACCAAATATCAGAACATTTAAAATCATCTGTCATGAATTGAACTGTATGTCCCCCAAATAAGCAGCAACTTGGCTTGGGTATGCTTCTCAGTGTAATTGTCCTATGTGTTGTAAACCCCAACCTAACCTCATTCATTCCCGGCCAGAGAGGGAGGGAGGAGGCGTCACTGGGCAAGGTCACCTCGGATAACAGCAAAAGGAGGCGTCTTCCAGGTCAGACCCAGCGAATCCCGGCCAGAGAGGGAGGGAGGAGGCGTCACTGGGCAAGGTCACCTCGGATAACAGCAAAAGGAGGCGTCTTCCAGGTCAGACCCAGCGAAACCCGGCCAGAGAGGGAGGGAGGAGGCGTCACTGGGCAAGGTCACCTCGGATAACAGCAAAAGGAGGCGTCTTCCAGGTCAGACCCAGCGAAACCTGGC